AACTACCTCTGGAGTTATACTAAGATCTGATGTTACAGAAAATAAAGGTTTTTAAACAGTGCTTAGGACACAATGCTGCTGCTGCTAAGTTGCCTCAGTTGTGTCCGACACTGTGCGACCCCATAGACGGCAGCCCACCAGGATCCCCTGTCCCTGATATTCTCCAGGCAAGAACACTGGAGTGGGTTGCCATTTTCTTTTCCAATTAGGACACGATGAGCATTCAATAAACATTTACAGCGTTATGTAGATAATTTTCAATTCCCCCAGAGCACCTAGGGAGTGTCTTGCAAATACACATGGCCTGATTACTGCATAAATGTTCAGAGAAGATGGAATGACCGAACATATTGCTTCTTCCTCATTTTATAGTATCTCTGACCACTATTCTCAGATCAAGGAAACCACCAACAGAAATGAGGACTCTAAAACTCTGTCACTCTACTAGGACTTGTTTGTATTTAATTTAGTGGGCAAGTAAGCACTAGAAAAGCAAATGGATGAAAGGATGTCAGGGAGAGCAAAAGAAAATAATTTACCAAATCTATCCATGCTGTGGATCAACCTATCTGTTGTTATTATTATAAAGTCACAGTGCCTTTGGCATCCATCCTGGTGATCGTCAGCTGCCTATGGCATTCAAGATGTGTAAAGCAAAACAGACTGACTAATTATGTTTTTCTCAATGGAAAGGAGGAAGGAAAGCAAACCATTAATTTTACTTAGTTCCAAAGTGTAACTTTAAACATTCTCACTCTGATACTAGAGAAAACTTCAATCTAAAACCTATTCATTCCATTTATGCCCATTTATACCTGCTTTCTCTAAGAAAAGGGAAAAAAATCATTCTCGATGAACATGAATATAGGAGAGAGCTAATTTTAGTAGTATGTGAATATATTTTTCCTAACTAGAGTAAAAGTTAAGTCAAAATTTCCACTGTTCAACTGCAAACCATTGAGCAAAATTGGTAGAGAATTTTTGCTCACTCTATACATTTTTTTTATTAGAACTTTGTCTAATATAGCAAATGATCAAAGCTTCCTAAAGTCATGGGCAAAGGCAAGTGAAAGTAGTCTGTTTTTATGTTGGTGACAGTGATGGTGGACTAACAAAACTTACTGACCATTATCTCACTAGTTAAAAAAAAAAAATCTGTTTGAAATTAAACCACAAAGAGATGAAGTTTTAAATTTCAGTTTTCATAAAATTTGGCTCTATGGTATTCCATTTCATTTTAAAGAAAAAGAAAATAGTCAAAACAATATAGCACTCCTGTCTAGATTTAGAGTGTCCCAGAATGAGGAATCTGGAGAGAATATAAAATCATATTTACAGAGCATAAAATGTGGGAGAATGATCATCCCATTCTCAATCAATCAATTCTAGACTGTATTTGAGTAACTGCTGCAAATTCAGCCCAGCTGGGATCCATAAGAAACACTTCAAAATAGTGCAAGGTTATTTCTGCTTATTAAATAATAAAAATGCTTGCCTCATAAATAATTATTCCTTAACAAATTATTGGGGAAAAAAGCTTAACAATACATACCATGATGAAGACTCCAATCAGAAAAATTGAAAAAAGCTAAGGAAAAAAGTACCACTTGTTTGAAAGACTGTCAAACAGGTAAAATTTTAAGTCTTTAGATGGAGTTAGCAACAAAATATTTCCCTCACCTGAAATGGAGGATAGTTTTCAAGATGCAAAATCTAGAACTAAAATTTGGTTTATGTAACAGTTTCTTTAGTAAGTAAAGTAGCAATCAATTAGATATTCTGCAAGCATAATAAGTGGTCTCATTATATGCCCAGGAGTGGGACTGCTGAATCATATGGTAGCTCTATTTTTAGATTTTAAGGAACCTCTACACTGTTCTCCATAGTAACTATATCAATTTATATTCCCACCAACAGTATAGGAGGGTTTCCTTCTCTCCACACCCTCTTCAGCATTTATAGATTCAGACAGATGTGAGGTGACACCTCATTGTGTTTTGATTTCAATTTCTATGATAATTAGTGACGTTGAACACCTTTTGGCAATCTGTATAACTTCTTTGGAAAAGTATTTATTTAAATCTTCCATCAATTTTCTGATTAGCTTGTTTTTTTCATATTGAGCTGCATGAGCTGTTTGTGTATTTTGGAGATTAATACCTTCTTGCTCACTTCATTTGCAAATATTTTCTCCCACTCGGAGGGTAGACTTTTTAGTTTTGTTTATGGTTTCCTTTGCTATACAAAAGAGAAGCAAAAGACAAAGGAGAAAAGGAAACATCTACCCATCTGAATGGGTTCCAAAGAATAGCAAGGAGAGCTAATAAAGTTTTCCGAAGTGTAAACACAGCAATGGCCACAGGACTAGAAAAGGTGAGTTTTCATTCCAATCCCAAAGAAAGGCAATGCCAAAGAACGTTCAAACTATTACACAATTGCACTCATCTCACATGCTAGTAAAGTAATGCTCAAAATTCTCCAAGCCAGGCTCAACACTACGTGAACCATGAACTTCCAAATGTTCAAGCTGGATTTAGAAAAGACAGAGGAACCAGACATCAAATTGCCAACATCCACCGGATCACTGAAAAAGCAAGAGAATTCCAGAAAAAACATCTATATCTACTTTATTGAATACGCCAAAGGCTTTGACTGTGTGGATAACAACAAACTGTGGAAAATTCTGAAAGAGATAGGAATATCAGACCACCTGACCTGCCTCTTGAGAAATCTGTATGCAGGTCAAGAAGTAACAGTTCGAACTGAACATGGATAACAGACTGGTTCCAAATAGGAAATGGAGTACGTCAAGGCTGTATATTGTCACCCTGCTTATTTAACTTATATGTAGAGTACATCATGAGAAACGCTGGGTTGGCTAAAGCAGAAGCTGGAATCAAAATTGCAGGAGATATTGAGGAGAAATATCAATAACTTCAGATATGCAGATGACACCACCCTTATGGCAGAAAGCAAAGAAGAACTAAAGAGCCTTTTGATGAAAATGAAAGAGGACGGTGAAAAAGTTGGCTTAAAACTCAACATGGCAAATAGATGGGGAAGCAATGGAAAAGTGAGAGACTTTATTTTCTTGGGCTCCAAAATCAGTGCAGATGGTGACTACAGCCATGAAATTAAAAGACGCTTGCTCCTTGGAAGAAAAGTTATGACCAACCTAGACAGCATATTAAAAAGCAGAGACATTACTTTACCAACAAATGCCCATCTAGCCATGGTCTTTCCAGTAATCATGTTTGGATGTGAGAGTTAGACTATAAAGAAAGCTGAGCACCGAAGAATTGATGCTTTTGAACTGTGGTGTTGGAGAAGACTCTTGAGAGTCCCTTGGACTGCAAGGAGATCCAACCAGTCCATCCTAAAGGAAATCAGTGCTGAATGTTCATTGGAAGGACTGATGCTGAAGCTGAAACTCCAATACTTGGGCCACCTGATGCGAAGAACTGACTCATTTGAAAAGACCCTGATGCTGGGAAAGATTAAAGGTAGGAGGAGAAGGGGATGACAGGATGAGATCATTGCATGGCATTGCTGACTCAATGGACATGAGTTTGAGCAAGTTCTAGGAGTTGGTGATGGACAGGGAAACCTGGTGTGCTACAGTCCATGGGGTCACAAAGAGTCAGATATGACTGACCAATTGAACTGAACTTGCTATACAAAAGCTTTTAAGAATAATTATGTCCATTTGTCCATTTTTGTTGTTATTTTCATTACTTTAGGGGGTGGATCAAAAAAAAATCTTGCTCCAATTTATGTCAAAGAATAGTCTGCCTATGTTTTTCTCTGATTTATAGTATATGGCCTTACATTAAGGTCTTTAATCCATTTTGAGTTTATTTTTGTGTATAGTGTTAGGGAGTATTCTAATTTCATTCTTCTATATAGAAAACCATACTTGAAAGGATGCATGCACCTTGATGTCACTGTAGCACTATTTACACTAGCTAGGAAATGGAAAAAACCTAAATATCCATCAAAAAAGGAATGAATAAAAGAAGATGTGTTACATATATACATGGAATTTTACTCAGCCCTTAAAAAGGAATAAAATAATGCAATCTGCGGCAACATGGATGGATCTAGAGATTATCATACAGAGTGAAGTAAGTCGGAAAGAGAAAGACAAATATTGTATAATATCTCTTAAATGTGAAATCTTGAAAAAGGGTACAGATGAACTTACCTGCAAAGCAAAAACAGAGTCACAGATGTAGAAAACAAATTTATGGTTACCAAGGGGAGATGGGATGGACTGATGGATTGAGTCTGATATATATACAATCACTGTATATAAAATAGACAGCTAGTGAGAATCTACTGTATAGCACGGGGAACTTTACTCAGTGCTCCATGGGGACCTAAATGGGAAGGGAATCTAACAAAAGTTGGATATGTGTATGCATGTAACTAATTCACTTAGGTGTATAACAGAAACTAACACAACATTATAAGGCAACTATACTCCAATAACTTGGAGAAGGAAATGGCAACCCCCTCCAGTATTCTTGCCTGGAGGATCCCATGGACAGAGGAGCCTGGTGGTCTGCTGTCCATGGGGTCACACAGTCGGAGACTACTGAAGTGCCTTAGCATGCATGCATGCATTGGAGAAGGAAATGGCAACCCACTCCAGTATTCTTGCCTGGAGAATCCCAGGGACAAAGGAGCCTGGTGGGCTGCCATCTATGGGGTCGCACAGAGTTGGACACGACTGAAGTGACAGCAGCAGCAGCAAGAGCAGTATACTCCAATTAAAAAATAAGTAAGATGGTTCCATTATATAGATTCAGGACTCTGCAAAATAAATTTCACATGAAACAATACTGACTCCATATAATAACTTGAAAATATTTGTGTTCAACATTGGTCCTAGTCAACAATAAGAGTTACATATGGATTCTGCCCACACATTGCTTTAGGCTACTGAGATTCATTTATTGAACACAAGTTTAACAAAGTAAGCAATGTTTAAATCTTACCCTCTGGCCAGGACTTATTGAGAAGGATATGTTCTCTAGTATGGCATTCCCTCCATCTATATACTTTGCTGTGAGGTCTTTGACAGTCATTTGGCCCCCTGAGGGCCAGATGTCATCTTTCTTCACATGTTGATTCTCGATGATCATAACTTTTGAGAGCTGACTATCCTTGGATGGTCTGAATGAATTGTTAGGTTTACCATCTTCTGCTGGCATATCAATAAACTTAAAGACTCGGCTCACAGATCGCATCTGAAATAAAAATAATATTTTATTTTTTTAAGAGTTGCAGAGAATGTCAAAATTAGTTTAATGTTTCCTAAAATAAAATTTGTAGGATGTGATACTAGCTAGTTGTCAGTTGGCTATTTGTTAGGTTTCTCAATGAAATAACAGGAAATAATTGGATAGAACTAAAGGCTTAACCAAGAGAATTAACTAGAATTTCTATAAATGGGCTCTTTATAAACCTGTTTATTTTTGTGATCACTCAACTCTCAGTTATGCAAGCCACACATAAATAGCCAAACTTTACTCAATGGAATAGATGATGTCAAGGGGAAACTTTTTTTCTACCATTGTGTAAGTACAATGTTCTGCAACTGATAAGTTATAATAAAATGTTTCACACTTCAAAATCACTATATAAAAGGCTTTCCTTATTCTTGTAGTGCATTAATAACTATCAACAATTCTATGTCAGCTGGGTGGCAAGTAGACTCTTGAGGCTCAGTAAATTTTGAATAACTTCACAATAATCTTCAAACAAATTTGAAGTCACTGGCATATATCTGTAGTTAAATATTACATTTTCAATCTAAATTACTTAAAGATCAATGTCCACTGCTGAGCAAAATATGACTGTGTATAAGGGCTGTATTTGAAATTTAACCATTTTTTAAGTTAATTTATTTTTAAAATTTTATTTTATTGACGTAGAGTTGATTTACAACGTTGTGTTAGTTTCTGGTATTCAACAAAGTGATTCAATTATTCAAATATATACAAATTTTCTTTCATATTCTTTTCCATTACAGTTTATTACAGGATATTGAATATAGTTCCCTGTACAACAATAGGACCTTGCAGTTTGTCCATTCTGTATATAATAATTTGCATCTGCTAAACCCAATTTCCCAATCCATCCCTCCCCCTTGGCAACCATAAATCCATTCTCTGTGTCTGTGAGTCTGTTTCTGTTTTGCAAATAAGTTCACTTATGTCACATTTTAGATTCCACATGTGATATCATATGGTGTTTGTCTTTCTCTTTCTGACGTATTTTGCTTAGTAAGACCATTTCTAGTTGCACCCATGTTGCTACAAATGGCATTATAAAATTCAACTATTTTGCAGAAGTGCTTAAATTATTTAATGACAGCATATTTCTCTGAACAATTATAATTTACAAACTTTAGAAAGTGATTTTTAAAATAGCTTGGCATATAATAGGCATCCAATACATAATTGAAAATATTTAAAGTAAATGTACTTGTGTGCTCACTTGCGACCAACTCTTTGTGTCCCCATGGACTGTAGCCTGCCAGGCTCCTCTGTCCACCGGATTTCCTAAGCCAGAATACTGCAGTGGGTTGCCATTTCCTTCTCTAAGGGATCATCCTGACCCAGGGACCGAACCTGCATCTTCTGCATTGGCAGGCGGATTCTTTACCACTGAGCCACCAGGTAGCCCATTAACAGCTTACTAGACAGAAAATTTTTTGTCTGAAAAGTAATTGCTGATTCTGGCTTTACCCAGTTGAGAATTTAACCTTCTTCTTTACAATGTTAATTTATTATCATCATAGTTATTTAGACACTAGAAATAATTCTTTCTGAAAAAAAATGGTGAGATGAAATGATGTGGGCATTCATTTATATTATTTTTATTTTTCACTATCAAAAGGTGAAATGGCAAGAATTCTTCATCTTTAGTATGAAATGACTCGTAGATGAATCAGAGAAGTTCAGATATTTATCCTTAATTCAACATTTAAAGCTTCATATTAGAAAATCTTATATCATTGCCTGTTTTCACATGCACTGATCAAGACTGATATTGATAAAGAGCTTTCTTCTATCTAGTAATTGTGTGCTTCAATTTCCCTCATCTTGAATATATCTTCAAATTATCTTCAATAATTATTTAAGATTCAAAAAGAGAATCCTTTCAAGCCAAAACCCACTAGAAATGGAAGTGAAAAATATCCAAAGCCAATGTCCATCATAAATAACTCAAGAGGAAATAAATGGCATATTATAATTATTCCTCTGACACAATATTTTAAATTCCAAATTATGGGTGATTTTCAGAGTTTATTAAATCCTGACTCAGTTTTTTTTTTTATTAAATTTGAATTGAAATACACTGTTGACATTTCTGCATGTCAGTGGTGTGAAGAATTCTATACTAGTTTTTAAGTGCTTTAGCACGTCAAGTAAGGAACTGTATAACAAAAATCCATCCTATTTTAACACTTTCAAGCATCAAAAAACATTTAAATATTGCTATCAAAACTACTCAAAATTACATGTGTTATTATTAGAAAATGACATCAAAACTACTATTTTGACAGCACTAAAATGTCATGTTTTCTTTATAAGCATTTGTCTGAGTACAGCAAATTACATTCTTCACTAACAAGGGTGAACCCAGGACTTCTTTTGTTGTTGTTTTGTTTTTTGAATTCAGAATTTCTAATGTCAGCTATGGTATACAGAATGCACCTATCAAATTGAGAAAATACAATTTTCAACTCACCACCTTTCATAGAATCTAGTTGCTTAAAGTGACCCCAAGACAGGTTATTATAGTTTTCCACAGCATGGTCAAATATCCCTGACCAAGAACAAGTTCACCGTAACAACAGGCACTCATCTACAGCCCATGAACATTCACTCAACTCAATGGGTTAAAGTATTTTCTGACAGGAAGGAAAGGTGGCCAGTGCAGACACTTGGATTATGGTTAGGTTTTCAGCCACTGAAACAGTGAACAGACAATGTGGGCAGATAATATTATGAATTACTAACTCCCTGTGCCTCACAGGCTCTCCAACTGGCACATTACTTCCACTGCCTCTCAAAGGAGAAGGCACACAGAACCAGAGTACAGAAAACCATTTCTGGCCTTGCAAGGTGCAAAAAACTGCCTTCGTAGTCAGAGATTGAGTGAGAGTTCAAAAATTTTGAGCCACAAGAATATTGCCTGTTAAGATTCAAACACCAAAGCCTGAAGGACACAAGCCCGAAGGACAGGGTTCATGTAAAAACTAGTAGTCAAGGATGAACTTCTGATGGAAGAGAAACAGCTTCTCTCCTCACCCCCCAATCTGACTCACAAATGGGCTAAGGCACCAGTTCCTCTAAAAAGGAGCACTGCCTTGCAACTGAACTCTGGTTCTATCCTCAAGTAGTTTTGAGTGATTTTAGAACTTAGGAGGCCTGTGCCTCAGTTCTAAGGTGGATACAGGAATGGGGCAGGGCTTGGAGAAGCTTCCAGTGCCCATACGGCATAGGAGCATAAGAGTGGGCATGCCTGCATGACATGTTGAAACACAGATAACTTATAGCTTTGGATTTTCTTGTATTTCCAGAATGATGAGGGAAAGCCAAATAATCCCCATGCGTTGACCCTTGGGGTCTTCCGTTCCTCAGGGACATGGAAGCTGCTGAGAGAGTGCAGACTCACCAAGGAAGAGCTACCAGTCAGGACCAGAAGGAAGACCCAGTGCCCCTGGACTGTACACCTCTAGTTCAGAGACAGCCCTGGAGCTGTCCCTAGCACAACAAGGGACAACCTAGGGCCAGACGCCCCCTCCCTCGGGGTCTTGGGATCCTGTAAACTCCACTCACAATTGATTCTGGAGTCACTTCTAGTAAGATCTCTGAATTCACCGAGGTTTCTTCTACTCGGTGGAAGGCATGCTCAAATAGAAAATAAATATGACTATAACACAAGTAGTCATATATCTCCCACACTTGATTTAACAACCAAAGATTCATATCTGTAGTGAGGGATGGATCCAGGTGTGGTGGAAACAGAGACTTAGGTAATGTGGGAGACTCTTAAGAGAAGGTCTTAAGAAGACATCAATACAATATCAATACAATGAAATATTATTCAGCCATAAAAAGGATGAAACATGAAATATCATTTGCAACACTGATGAACAGAGATTATGATACTAAGTGAAATTAGACAGAAAAAGATAAATATTACATGATATCATTTGTACGTGAATTCTAAAAAAATAATACGGATGAATCCATTTACAAAACAGAAACAGACTCACAGATACAGAAAATAAACTTACGGTTACTAAAGTGGGGGGTAAATGAGGAGCATAGGATTAACAGATACACACTACTATAAATAAAAAGAACAAGCAACAAGGATTTACTGTATAACACAGGGAACAATATTCAAAAAAAGAGAAGAAAAAGAAATAAAATGCTGCATAGAAAATTAAGTACAAGACCTTCAAAAGTTTCCATACAAGTGGCAGAATGTGAGCTTACATCTAAGGATCTTCAGTTAAATCCACTGTGCCAATTACAGTAAACTTATTCAAGCACTGTTTGTGTATATTCTCCATCAAGTGTTTAGCATCATGCAGTGCCTTAATAAATCTCTGTTCATAATGAATTAACCCATTGTTCCACCTCACATGCAGAAAGCAGTTTCTGAGCAGGGAGAATGGCAGTGCTGTAACTTAGTAGGAAATCTAAGCTGCAGTTGTAGCCTCAGCTGTCACCCTAAAAATATACATTGCTATTTGGATCAGAAGGATGTTGTAACATATCAAATTAGTTTTAGTCTCATCTACTTGTTTTCATTAGTCTTTTTAACCTAACTGAATCCTATCTCTAATTTGGGATGTTTAAATATTTTAAGATGATTTATAAAAACTGCTGTGCCATTGTCCAGCTATGTAGGTGGAACTGGTTGGAAATACAGATTTGACAATTTTCAGAGTTCTGTAGATGGAGTTGGGAAAACTCTTTAAGCTGAAGCTGCTGTTTCTGTGCATAGAAAAGTGTTTCCTATGGAGGAAGGAGCGGGTATCCTGTCTAGCTCACTGACAGCAAAGTCTCAATGTAGCAATTACCAGCTTAGGTGGGAGCACATGTCTTAGATTTTAAGAAGTAAATGAGGAAGCCAAAATGAGACTCAGGCACTGAAACATCAAATCTATTCCTCATGTGAAGAGGAAAACCTGGTATAATTTGCATAGGCTTTCCACAAAATT